CAGGGTCAGCAGATATGGTATTGTAAGCCAGACTGGGGCCAACTCATTTGCATTTATCCAAATGGGTTCCTCAACTTTTCAGCAGCTCTTTTGTTGGCATTTCACTCCAACAAATTGCAATGGCAAACAACAGCTCAGCCGCATTTTCGGTAATTTTTGCCAAGGAACAAGTTTACACGTAAATTGTAAATTTACTCAACTAGTTCGTTCCTCGTTAAGTTTCGACACTTGCAAGCTCTTTGGGTTTTATTTAATTTTGGCAAAGCCACAGAACAATGGGTCTCTGAACTAACTTCGCCAGCTTCAACTTTTAACAGCATTAGTTGCCAGTCAAATATTTAGCATTTAACACGGACTGTGGGTTATTTGCCATGAAAAGGGTATCTGAGTTGGTTTTAATTCGAATGTTTCCCCTTTAAGAACTTAAGTTAAAAATCCATCGCCTGCTGTGCAAATAATTTGCCTTTTAAATTTGCCTACTCGCTGGCAATGCTTTTAGAAAACGAAAATGAAATTTATGCTCTGCCTAATCAAGTTTTTGAATGTTTTCCTTTGGCCATTTGCGTTTGATATTTCTGTGTTCTTTGTAGATGTAGAAATGCTTTTTGTAACATTTCCTATCAATTTGATGGCGAAACTTCCGGTCTCGAACAGAGAAACAAGCAATTGCCGGCCATAAACAATGTTCTCGGAATCGATTAATTGATCTGGCAATTAAACTGGTTTTATAAAAACTCAAAAACATCAAAAATTCGATTTGATTTTAAACTGGATTTTCGAGAGTATCAGAATATTCAAATCAAACATTTATCAGCTGCCAAGCCAAGTCCCTCCGAAAATGGTATCTTTATTTGCCTGACCGGAGGCAGCTAATTAAATATTTATAAACATTTATTTTCTTTGTTAATGCCATTAGGAATTTATGAATGACCCAGCTATGTAAACGCAAAAATTGTTTATTAAAAGGGTAAACAAGAAGGGAAGAGCTGGCCTTTTCCCTGTTTCCCACTCTTTTCCTTCTGTTTGCCCAACAAGTTTACCTTTCTTGTAAACACTATTTTTCTGGTAACGCTTGCCGGCAGAATATTACATAATATGAAATAAACTTTAAACTAGCCGAAACGAGGAGAGCTAAAAAAAAGGCAAACTGGTTGCATTTTTAATTAAAACAGCTTCGCGCTTTTATTTTTGTGGGCGTTAAATGGGCGCGAGTTCAGCGCGGTGACAGCCCTCATGACACTTGTCACAATATTTGCCACCCGGCTTAAGACTGTCTCGCTGGTGAAATATCTGTCTGGATGTCTGTTTGATTTTATGTTGGCTGCGAATTAAAGTTGAGCCCGCGGGAGCCACCGACTTTTGCCAGATGGAAACAACTTTATTAGCATTTTCCATGCCACTCAGCATTCAGCCATCGCAATCAGCGGCGAACAGCGCGAATCCAATTGAGTGTGATGGGCAACTTTTATTAATAACACCATGACATTTATGGCTATTTTATCGAAGAGACAGAGACAATCGTCGACGTCATTAGAGTTAAACTACCATATCATTGCGAAAGGTCAAAGTCGTAAACACAGCACAGACAGTTGTTTCTGATGGATGTTAATGGGTGCACGGTGAGAAATCTAGTTTATTGCTCTACGCCGATTTATTGGGATTTAATCAAAGGCGATTATCACTTTTGGAAGTCATTTTGAAGATATTTAACTTCTTACTGGGGGATAGTTAGGAAACTAACTGATTCCCAACTGCAGGCTTAAATATTTAATAAAATATAAATTTCTCTTCGTGTAACTTATAGCACGTTTGTTTTATGAATCTTCAACATAAAAACCTTTAACTGTCTGAAAAAAAGATTAAGATAAAGACAAATTTTCACATGCACGTGTTAATGAATCCGCTTACCAGGCAGAAATTGTTTTTCTGCTGTAGCCAAGACCCCTCCCAATGTTCGATTTTCAATTTTCATTTGATTTTTAGCCAGAAAAAATCATTATTTTGACCATAATTTCTACCTCGAAAAAGAATATCTTCAACCATTTTTTCAAAAACGTGAAATTTCTTCTATCCTCCCCTTACACCAAAATTTATTTTTCCATAGCAAATCCAAAAATGGTCGGAATGTGGAATGTGATACCTCGTTGAGCTTAATATTTAATTCCCAATAAAACTGTGTTCACAGTTTAAAATGTAATTTTTGGACATTTTTTGGAAAAATTTTTTCCTTTCCTTCCTTTCCGAAAATGCAAAATTTCGCCCACCATCATTTTTGGCCCTGAAATGAGTATTTTTCCCATCGCAAAGCCAAAAATGGTCAGAATTTGGAATGTTATACCTCGTTAAGCTCATAATTAAATTCCCAATAAAACTGAATTCACAGTTGAAAATGTAAATTTTTAGTTGTTTTTCGCAGAATTATATGAAATGAGAAATTAGGCCCACTTCGATTTTTCTCTCTAAAATCAGCGTACTTTTTAAACAAATTTCTAACCCAAAAGACGAAGCATTTTCATCGCAACCCAGAACTTATTTTGATCCATTCGAGAGGAAATGCCCATCTATTTCCAGATGTAAAACCAATATTTGCATTTAACGTGGCCGAATTTGAAGTTCTTCTATACCCGGAGACCGTAATGTTTTCGGGTGCCCCTTAATTGGTGGCATTCTGTTGACCTTGCCGGAATTTATGATATTTTTTTGGGCTGGCTTTTGGCTCTTTGGCTTTGCTTGTTTATCTACAAGTTACACGCTGCTCTCCGCGGCTGATAACATGTGTTCCCCCGCTGGTCTTGAGTTATTTTTCCTTTTATTTGCTTTATTTTTGTCAGCATTTTTTCGAACCGAAAACTGTTTGCTTTTGGTTTACTTTGGTTGTAAATTAAAGTTTAAATTAAGCTCTTCAAGTTCAGTTTATGCGCTTTGCCTTTATGATTTCATTTTTCCCCCGACTGATGATGCAATCTGCCTTGGACAATAACTCACTGTATTTGTTTCAACGAATTTTCTGACGAATATTATTAAGTGAGAAATCATAATTTTTGGTGAAAACAAATAATGATTTGTAATAATAGATAAGAAGAGCTGCTTGTAAGACAACTCACTAATGATGATCTAATTTGCATTGCTATTCATATTAATTTCTACAAACCGCACTGATTGAAGGCTGCCAGCGACCTAATGAAAACAAATGCCAGTTAATGCATATTACTCATCATTATTAATGCCAATTTAGTGATTCGCTTAAACTCCCATTTAAATAACTGAAGCGAAAACCTTCGCTTTAAATTCCACTCCATTGGTATTCTCGGCAACGCAAAATTCTCTCATTACGGGTAAACAATACACGAATTTACGTAATTCCCCGCCGATTTTGCATGCCTACGAATGCAATTGGAAGCACAAACAAAAGCCACTTCCACACCTTGGCTATATGGATATACAAACGCATATATATTAGCATACCAGTTGACTCAAATTAACTCGCTTTGAGCTTGAGCTTGGGCGTTTTTCACACACTCACGCTCATCGAAATCGAGAGACACGAGAGACGAAAATCAGCACTCGAAGATACATTCACATTGGTCGGCTTGTTATTGCCGGCTCAGATGGTAAATATATACCTTGCGGCTTGTTGGCTTGTTCGGGTAATAGACAGCAGATTCGAATTAAAGAAAACTCACGGCTAACAAACAAGTAACTAGCAACTACTTGTACTTGTAGTTCCCCGAATCGTGGCTAACCCCAGATGAAAATCTCTTATCTAATGCATTTTTATGGGCGTTCGTCATGTAAATAAAAATACAACAGACGAAAGATGATAATTCCAGAGACAAGCTTTGGCTGGGCTTTGTTAATTTCTGGCTGCTATTGCCGAGTTGCGGAAAAATTTGTAATTGAAAATGTTTTGCATGTTAACTGAACTGCGAAACTGGAAAAGATATCCAAACGGGGGGAGACAGAGACCTCAACAAAACAAAAAGTATATATATTTAAATGGAAATTGGTTCTGCCTTCTTTGTAAGGCCCACCCACTCAAAAGTCAAAGTTCACTGGGGTATCAAATTCGCCCGTTTGTTTGTTTGTGTGACTTTGGTCTTAATTTGTATAATGCATGCACCTCGGGAACCCAAATTATTATTTCAACAACCGCAAGCGATTTGTGTCCACATGACGAAACAGCACAAAAACCGTGAAATTGGTATGGCTAGATCCTCTCTATATAACATATATCCCCTCTTAGCTGATGTTTAATTCACAAAGCACAGTACTTCGACGTACTCAACTTTCTCTAAGGCTATTAATTAATGTTTATTATTCAGTTTGTTTACCTCCTACTCGCCTCTCGTCAAATTTTCCATCTAATTAAGTTCATTCGGGCTGGGGCTAGGTCAATTCGGAATCCGACAAATGACGTCAAACTGGGATAGAGCAAATAAATTTGCACCTCTTAAGAAAGTTGAGATAGTGATGGCCCGCGAGCACGCCTCATTTCTCATTTTCCACAATTACTTATTTATTCCCCGCTCATATCTCATTGAATTTCAAAGTGAATCGAAATGCCTGATGAATTATTTAGAGACCTGGGTGCAATCGTTATCTGCCTCGACACGCTGCCCAAGTCGAATGCCCCTGAACTCATTAGGAGGTGGCTAAGACAGGTGTGTGAATGGCCACTCGATTGCCCTATCGAAAAGGCATTCCGAAAGTGGAGCACCAAAACAAAACGCAAAAAGCCATCAACACAAACTGCTCATGATAAGGAGATTGATAAGTCAGGTATGTTCTCTGATGGAGATAAAAATCGTTTGCAAAAGATATGATTAAAGCAAACCAAGTAGCTACGGGCTGTTAGGAGCTTCGAATGCCCTTCTTTGAAAACTATTTTGTATCTCTAACATTATAAATTTAACGAGTAGCACTACAAAAGTGAAAGCTTCTTATCATATCAGCTGTATAAAACATTTCTAAATAAATCAGATACTATTCCTATCACTTACCGACTGACGAGGGTTGACTGCAGTCTCTTGGCGGGCGGCGAGGTGGGTGAGGTCGGTGACTTGGGTGATTTGACGGCACGTGGGCCACCACCCACTGACCCGACGCCAACTGAGCCTTTATCCAGTGGCTGCCGTGTTGACGGGGTCGCATGTGGTGGCGGCGAGGGCGTGGCATTGGCCTTGGAGCTGCTGCTGCTCGATCTCTTGGCCAGAAGCATTTTGGGCGGCACTTTCGGCGTGGCCGAAGGCGAACGCCGGGCACTAGCACTTGCACTTGGACTGCCGCGCGGACTGGCAACGGATACGGAACCCGAACCGAAACCCGAGACAGGACTCGAACCGGAAGCCGGAGTCATGATCCGTGTGCTGGACACTTTGGACTTTACATCGTTATAGTTTGTCTTGATCAGAGACTTGTTACTGGCGATCTTATTCATCACGGCATCCCACTTGTTGGGCGTGTGCGCCTTTCGATTCAGCGGCGATTTTGGGGATTTTGGAGTTTTCAAAACGCGCGATTTGCCAGCGATTTTGGTGGCCGATTTGCAAGACTTGGGAGAGGCGATCGATGAGTTCGAGGAAACGGAGCCGCGGAAATTCTCCACCGTACAGAGCGACGATAGCGAAGCGTGTGGACGCGGCGACGTAGTTTTCTGAACTGAGAGCACCGCCGTCGATCGTTCCGCCGCGAAAGCTTCGTCGCCGCAAAAACTTCGAGCGCTGCCGCCGTCGACGCTGCAGTACGAGGTGCGGTTAGAGAGAGAGAGCGTGGTGGCCGCTGAGGAGGAGGAGAGACAGCTGCTGGGGGGACGCTGCTGCGGGGCCAGCTGCTGCATTTGGCTGGGAGTGGGCTGACCTTGACCTAGGGAGGAGAAGAGCAAGCATTAAGATGACATAAAGTCGTGATAACATCGTTTTACGTCTCACAAAATCGTTGAAAATTCACATCAGTATGTAATATTCTAGATAATACTCAAATAATGAAATGAATCTTCTAAACTAGACTTCTCACCTTTTCGCATGGTCTGCGTGGAGTCATCCGGCGACATGTCCACATCGACATCCCCGTCTAGCTCCGGCTGACGCATCTCTTCGTCGCAGCGATTCTCCACGTCCGTGAAAATGCCCGATGACTCCATGCAGGAGTCCTCCATCTGGGGCACAGAGGCACTCGGCTGCATCATATCAGGACCATACAGCTGGCCATCGATCACCTGGGCCCGGCGATCGCCACGATGCAGGACATCATCCGCATCGGATTCGGTGAAGAAATCAGAGTCTGTCATGGGATCCTGGCGCCTCAGGGGCGCAGGATTTGGGGGCGGGAAGCTAGGCTGGCGACTAACTCGGCCCAAATGGGGTCCATTGCTAGGAGAGTGGTCACAAGCTCCGCGGGAAGCGGGACGCGACATCTCGCCATCGCCCTGGTAGCCCGTGTCCAAGCTAGTTACGCTGGTCACGCTCGTGATGAAGCTGTTGCTCAGCTTGGAGTGCTGCGAGGTGTTCACCTGGTTCTGGGAAGCCTCCACCTGCTTGACAATCTCGGATTTAATTTCAATGGGATCCAGAGGCAGTTCCTCCGGGGAAGGCGTCTGCTCCATTCTCAACTGCATGAGATTCGGATGATGCATCTTGATCAACTCCAGGTTGTGCATGAGATTGTTGTGAGGAGAGTCCAGGAAATCCTTCATCTGATCTGGTGTAAGGATACCCAAGCTCTCGTCCAGATCGAAAGAACTCTGTTTCTTCAGGAGCTGCTGTTGCATTTGCTGCAGTTGGGTGGAGGAGGAAAACGAATTGTCCACCAGATCGATGGAGCAATCCAGCGTTGTATCCGGCAGATCGAGGCCGAAACTGTAGCGGGTTCGTCCTCTTCCCGAAGAGGAGGTCAGAGTACTATCCAAGGCTCCATTGCCTTCCATTATGATGTCTCCGTCTGGCGTTCGAGTGGGCAAAACCAGAGCACTCTGCGCCTGCTTCAAGAGAGGGGATAGCAGATGCACTGGCTGAGGAGTGACCTGACCCATCATCCTCATCCCATGCGGCGTTGTGGTGGCCGACTTAGGGGATAGGCAAAGCAGAGAGTGCTGCGGAATGGATCTTCTTCCGGTTTGAAAATGTCCCCTACTGGGAGTTCCTCGCTCCAGCTCCTGGGTTAGGTTCAGCAGTTGAATGTGCCTCGGGGATTGCAACCCACTGAGGTCCAGCAATCTTTCAGTATTTAGCGTTGAGTTCAATGGCAGCTTCATGTTTGATTTGTCCGGGGCCAAGCTGGTTAACGTCACGTCCAGCGTGTCGTCCGTTTCCTGGTCCAGTTTTTCGAGGTTACTGGAGCCCTTGGAGCTCAGAGTATCCAAGCCAGATGGCATGGATATATGTTCTAGCAGAGGTAACTGATCCATGCTCAGGGTTAAATTGGCTCCTTGGTGGATCACCTTTGTGTAGTCACCTGGTTCATTGACGGAGGTGGTGAGATTCGCTCCGCGAACTGACATAGTGCAGAGGTTAACTCCTCTATCGATGGATTTCGTCAGATTGGATGCCACATCCATGGTTCTGGTAGCATTCGCTTCAGCTTTTATAATGTTTGTAGTATTCTGTCCATTGTCCATTATCCTAGAGATATTTCCTTTCTTGTCGTCCATAATCCTTGAGAGGTTTACTCCCCTCTTGTAGATTTGAGTGCAATTTGCTGCTAGGTTTCCAGCTCCCTCCAAAGTCTTAGTGACGTCGCCAACTCCCTCTAAAGTTTTTGTCACATTTCCAACTCCTTCCACTACTTTTAGTGAGATTTCCAATTCCGGTTGAGTTTGCAGATAAAATTCTGGTGGCATCCTTGTCCGTGATCACTGGCATTGTCCTGCCCATTATTCCCGACGAGTTGGCCGAATGTGTTGCATTGGTTTTGAAACTGACTGTCACATCGTGCCTAGTGTCCAACGAGCAAAAGGTCCTCATCGATTCCACTTTAGTTTTAGTGGGTTTCATAATACGTGTGTCATCTTTCACCAGAACCTTTGTTTCGTTGGACCCTGGCGAGTCCGTGTCCAGTGTCCGTCCGAAATGGGACAGCTCCTCCTCCTCACAGACAAAGGTCTCGGACCTTAATAGAGGTATTGGGGTGCTGCTGGTCAATTGATCTTTGTCTGTCATACCACGCTTCCCCACTGGTAAGGGAGTCACTGGCAGTGAGCTGGTCATTTCGCATGTATTGGAGATCACTGCAGCCGCCGCCGACGCCTTCGGACTGAAGTACTTTTTTAGTACTGTGGTTGTTCTTTTGCTGAGAAGGCTTACAGCATTGTTAATCCGTTCCCCACTAGCGCTTTTTTTCAAACTGCTGCCCAAATCCCGCAGAGCGGCTGAGGATGGGGCATAAGCGCTAGCTGGGCGCGGCTTAGCAGGATCGCTTGGTGCCCGGAATATCTGTGTCGCCTTCGGAGCACTCACCGGTGGTCGGATGTGCTGGGTGGTGGTGGTAGTGTTGTTGGTGGTTCTATTGGAGGTGCTGTAACCGCTGCTGGCCATTCCAAAACTACTCGGCTTCGGCAGCCTTGAAACGCCATCCAGGCGGGGAATTCGCGTGTTGGCGGGATCCTGCGAATGAAAAGGATAATGTGGGGTATGTAATTAAGTACAAAGTCAGAAAAGCTGCTCTTCGCACACAAATTACACCAGATGGTGTGCTCCCAAGGCGCTTGTTTTTCCCACACCAAGATTTTCCATGACCCTAAAGCCCCTGACAGTACACCAGTAAAAAGATCTTAGAACTGGAATATCTTTACCAAACCAATTTGTAACTTTGACTCTTCACAAATCAAAAATCTTGAAACTTATTACAAAAATCTTGTTAATATTTCATTTCTGTGTTCCCTTTTAAAACGATTCGAAATGAAAATCAGAAAGAACCGTCTGAGAAACAGTTTACTGGACATTTTTCTGGATGTAAACTGGCTGTGGCGCCACACTGATCCCCTTAGCATCCGCAAGCTGCACGTGCTCAGACTTTTTGGCAGGGGCCAATGTGGTGCAAAGTAGTTCAGTGGGGCGTTTCCACTTGGCACCAGTTCAACGCACTTTAAGTCAGTATCAGGGATGGAGACGGGGTGGGTTTACCACCAAATACCCTTATCCCTTTGCTGATGTCACCGAAACTTTGCCAGCTCCCTTTTTGGTGGAGTTTATGCATATGTTTGCCTTTCAACCCCGCAGAGCTAATTGCAGTTTAATCAAATCAGGCATAAAAAAAAGGAGCAACGACTTTTGGACAAACTTTATGGCAACGCTGAACTGGTTATAGCAGCGAAAGAGGACTGGAAAAAGCAGGACTTGGCAGCCATAATGAATTTATAGCATTGCGGGGAGTAATATCACATAGTCAGCTAATTATGCAAGGACACCGTTGAGAAAGGGGGATGAAATTTGGGAGGGAGGAGGGTAAAAGCTTTGTGCTACCTAATAGATAAGCAAGGCTTTATATATGAGACTTCACATTAGCCTTAATCCTCTATGTGTTAGGTAATGTCACGTTGTCATTACTTTTAATTGGGGGAAAAGTAAATTCAATTAGGCGTAGGGGTTAGAATAATCTTAGACACCTTCTCCTTCATTTTTAAGTCATTTTAAATTTGTATATTTCTTTGGCAGCACTGACACATCCTAAGGCATTTCGAGAGAAACAATCTGCGAAACATGTTCCGAAAATCGGGCAGGGCGTGTGCCCTTCTTGGAAAACGTTTACCCCTTAGTTTCGATCCCCTGAAGAAGATGCCGGCTGTTCAACTTCTCTACGAAGGAGCTGCAGCTTCAGGACCACTCGCCTTCAAAAAGTCACAGGATAATAAGCTAACATCTCAAAACATGAATTGGTTACTCCAAAGTGGACACCTTGTGCGAGGCTATAGCACCGAATCAGCTTCCACAGGGACCACGACGACTGTCAAGCTGAGTAAGAGAGAGCAACTGAAGCAGGCATTCAAGGAGTACGGAGCCACAATAGTGGCCTTTCATGTGGGCATTTCGGTCATATCGCTTGGCGGTTTCTATGCACTCGTTTCCAGTGGAATAAACCTGATGCCCATACTGGAGTACCTTGGAATAGGATCATCGGCGATTGCGGAAAAAATTTCCACAGGAAGCACCTTCGTGGTGGCCTTCGCCGTTCACAAAGTCTTTGCGCCTGCCAGGATAAGCATTACGTTGGGAACAACGCCGTTCATTGTGCGCTACTTGCGGGCCAAAGGACTCCTAAAGCCGAAGGCTTCATAGAAATGTGCCATTTTTTAACTTCTTATCAGAGTAACGTTTTGTTACATTACCTTATATGGCCCATTTAAAAATTTGAAACGTTTTATCAAACAATATTCCTTTGCTTATCAGTTTGACTATATATATATATGCACCATATATATATATAAACCTTAAAAAACCAATTTATAAACGCTTTTTATCATCAACACCATCAGCTGGAAAGATAGTTTAAAGTGCTAAACGCTTGCCAAACAATATCCGGCCGCAAAGTTTGCCAACGTTTAGACTGACAAGGCAAAGTTTCTTCATCTTCATCTGCCGATCTGTGCCTCTTTTTTTTCGGGGACTACACAGCCCAAATTTGCTGCATGCCATACAATATGAAATGCACTCGATGGCAGTTTACACAGGCCGACTTAATCGAAAATGCAATTTCAACAGACAAGTTAAACAAGCGCCGCCTGCGTCTTGAACTTTCGGAAGGGAATGAGGAAAAAAAATCTACAATGTGGCTGCCACACCAAGCCACGCCCAGGCCCATTCAGTGTCCTTGAACTTTTTCGCGTGAAAGTTTGCGCCAACCTGAAGGCCCGGGAACCCCAGCCGAGAACCGATTGTTATCAAGTGCAAAATGCACAAAAGTTTCCGCCAAAAGGTGGGGGGCCACACAGACTGCTCCTTTCTCAGCCGGCTCCGCCATATGTGGCCATAATTATTCGAATATGGCACGATAACCGAGGAGCGGGAGCAGCTGCTTCTGGGAAATTAAATGTTATCGATAACGGCGCGGGGGGAATTTGCATAATGGCCTTTTGGCACTGCAATATGAGCTGTGTCCTTGGGGCATTCGTGTGCAGGATAATGAAGCAAACATTCCCGATTAAGCGGTAAATTATGGGGCTTACTTGACCGGCAATTGTGTGGAAAATATAAAAGGTTTTTCTTTGTAGTTCTGTCAAGTCCACGCTTCGTTAATTGTTAACTATTTGAAAGTGTAAACTTAATTTAAGTTTTTTCAGACTTAAATACGATACACACGTAATCTGATATGCTTCTGAGAGCTTTTCATTGGTTTGACAGAATGGAATCACTTTAAAACCCTACTTTGTTACACCTTTAACCTTCTCTATATCCTTTTCAAAGACTTCAATAAACTGTGATGCAATACCTTGTGGACGGAAAAAATTGAGTAGCAATCGACTCGATGCACCAAATATTTGTCACAACAATATGTACGCGCGGAAAAAGGGATACGGGAAAATAAAAAGGACACGCATCGGTTGAAACTCAAATAAATACTGTCACAGCAAAGCAAAGACAGCGGGCGACTGAATGCCCGCACAGCTGACAACGGAAGCCGGCAGTGAAACTCGAGGAATCCGGGGAGTACGGCAAATCGGGGGTGGAATGGTGCTATCAACCTGCTACCACCAACGAGTGGCACCAACACAACCACCGCACCACCACCAACTGCATGTGGGTTAAGCGCAAACGCATGTCCTGTAGCCATGACAAGGCAGCGGAAGAGCGGAGCGGAACCAAATAAAAATTTATCGATTTCCATGGGAGATTTATAATATATAGCCAACCGCCCGATGCCCCGCCTCCTGTCCGCCATAAAACTTCATTTTTTTATCGATATTAATAGCGTCTATGGTGGCATGGGTGGATTTCCTACGAATAGTGCATAAAATTCCCAAGAATCGTGGGTGTGTGATGGCTGTGTTTGTGCTCAGCTTGTGCATGAATAATTTGCATTGCCAAGTTAGGGCCCCTTCGGCCCGCCGTTCCCACCCTTCAATCAATAGCGATTGACGAGGTTATGAAAAGGCAAGTGAAGAGTGCCAGAGAAAAGGGAAAATAATGCTGAAATGGCTTAACATTGATTGAACGACTCGCTCGCTTCTCAATCGATTGGAAGGAAAGTATTTTCTGAACAGCCCTGACTGTGTTTTTATTTGTTATGCATATTAGACATCAAGATAACCCAATAAACATTGGCAATGGATGCAAAAATGGTTGAATAAATACAAAATGCATACTTCTAAGTAAAATCTTTCCTGCCTTAACCTCCATTTAAGGAAAAACCCGTTATCAAGGCTTCTTTTACAGACTTTTTACTCAAGCAAAGTAAATATTTTCATACTAAATGCTTACAAGTCCCAAATATCGAGAATATCTGCACAAAAACCAAGCTTTTATGGCTTCCAAAAAGGCAACACTCTTCTCCTCTCCGATAACTACTCTAATGACTTTTAACCACCCACCTACATACACCCAGATTCGAACAGCTCAATCAACTTAGTGGAAATAGAGTGTCTGCCTCTTTGGTTATTTTACTACAGAAGCTACAAGAAACATTTTCACAAGCCATTAGCTCGTATTCATCAGGAGCACTAAGCGGTTTATCTCGTGCAGGACAACAAACTCCAAGGACATGACTGCAGCAGCAACGGCAACAGCAACGACAAGGGAGGAAAGTGGCAAACATTTGCAATTAGATGGGAAAAACCGTCCAATATACTTTGCATACTTTGCTGAGCAATAAAAAAGAGGCAATCCGACCGAGAGGCAACACTGCGCATCCGCAGGCAATTTCTGTAGCATACTTTAATGCGCTGCGGCAGCTGGGCTGGCTGTGTCAATAAATCGCCAAAATGTCTGCGAAACAACTTTTTTTAATATTTCTGGCAATGTTTGACACAAGCTGCGACTTCTTCTAGACCATCATTTATTGTTTATGATTTTTTTTTCCATCTTTTTCAGACTCCTGCTGCAGGCGTGCGTAAAATTAAATCATTTTTATAGACCTATTCTCGTTCTTTCGCTGTCAACCAGACAATTAATGTTCCCGTCCAGCCATATATATATCACACTAGACACTGGCCGACTGTATCCGGGGACTCAGATCAAATTTATGTGCATCTTGACTAGTTTTAAGTGGCAGCAGTTAAGGCGGAGCTCATGCCGAGATCCCGGAGAAAAGAAATTACCTAGATTTAAAGTTGCAAATCAGCAGAGCTAAGCGGAAAATATATAGTATACTATCAGGCTTTGATTAAAAAGACCCCAGGGAAAAATCTCTGAGCCAGCACAAAGGTCAAAACAAAGAAAACAAAGGTAAGAAGAAATGCCCGCAGTTTCCGTTTTAATTTGTTTTGTGTAAACACTAAAAAGAGAAAGGAAAATTCTCAAGTGTTGTGTAAACGTGTTTCCTACGATTGCTGTAAAGGAATTTCCATTGTGAGCTTGGCTCAAAGTTTACGATTTATTTAATGTTGTAATTAAGTTTTGACGACATGAAGCTCTAATTAATGTGCCTCTGAGGAGAATCACATGTGGCTAAGCTGCTTAAAATTTAGCAGACTGTAAGAGGATTAAAGCTGGATTAGGCTACAGATGGAATGGCTATATTACATCTTTGATTAAAAATGTTTTATTTTTCAACAGAATTCATAGACTATAAATACATTGCTTTTCTCTGAAATAGGCATGTTAACTTAACTTAAGTACACACAATTTCAATACGTTACTTTACAGAATTTGCAACCCAAGAGAAGCAACGGAAAGGTTCTAAGAAATATGCTTCTATTTGGTATGTAACAAGCATTTGGGCATAATTTATTATGCTCCAGGGAACAGGACTCAGACCAGACCGTAAGGCAGGACAATCCGAAGACGACGACATTTATCAAGTGTGCAGCTCGAGCGAGGCTGAGTCTACGTAAATACTATGTATTTCTCCGTTTTCTTTGGCATTGCAAGTTTTCGGAGCATCGCAAATTTAAAATGTAAATCGCTTGCTGCAACACGAGTTGTTATGCCCCACGGCCTTTTGTATGGTGCATTCATTCTGAATGGCCGCCTCCCTCTCATCTTCATCAACATTTCTTGGTACGTTCGTGCCTTCATTTTCGTCCCCAATCAATTTTGTAAATTGCACTTGCGATTGATTTGAAAGCATGTTGTTTCCACCACTTTTCTTCTGCCTTCGGCCACTCCTATGCATTCTGAATAAGATGAGAAATATTACCGGACTGTTGCCTCTGCCGATGTTGTACAGGTGCTACACGGCGTATGCGCAATTTGTTGTGGTCAATGGATGAAGGCTGTGGCTGTGGAAGCCTGGGAAAACCGCTCCGGTTAATGGAATTGCAGCCGTGTGAGCGGCCAGCAACTCATCAATCAAGGTCGGTCGATCCATGTAGTTGGTGGTAAGCTCGTTATTGCATACAACCAGAAGACTTCGATTTCCGGTTAATCTATTTATGGGGGTGTTTAAGTGGATATATAGCAATATGTATCTCTCATTTTTATAAGCTCTTTGTAGTAAATGAACTAATAATCAATATAACCAATGCTAACTAAGCTTATACCCATTCACATCTCTAATTTCAGCTCAGTCAAATATTCCCTTTGCTCGAATTTTGCCGAGTTCAGCTCGCCATTAACCCTTAACCCATTAAAACCTTATTATGCATAATCCCCCTTTATTGCAAAATATTCAATAGGCCTGCAGGTATTGAAATTTTCCATTTCAGATAATTACACACAGAATGCAGGAAAAAAAGTGCAATTTTCTGTGCCATTGCAAATGGCATTTTGCGAAAAGAATCGTTGACAATAATGAAGCTGATGAACATTTTGTGGTTCTGTTTATTGTCATTGTTGTTGCGTTAGTTATTCTACCATTTGGCTGGGGTGCATTTAGGCCAGTCTGAAACTGTTTGCGTCATTGTTCGGCTTTAGTTCTCTGCGGTTGCCTGAAATTGTCGTAATGCATTTACGGACATCGCACACACATGTGGTCCGAGTGCGGTTTTGTAGCTGGAAGTGTTCACTGTGTACTGTAAACAAGCTTCTAGCAACCCACTTGGGTTTCCCTTGGGGTATGGAACGCGTCAGCAGTCATAATTCTTTTAAGGGTTTGGACTTTAGCTTATACAACATCTAGAAAAGGTTTAAAGTTCTACGAAAAATAGAAGATTTTTCTTTGCTAATCTTTCTAAATTTTAATTTTGGGTACTCATGTTTTTCACATTTTCAAAAGTCAATGGATTTTTCCGTTGTGGTTCTGCATTTTTAATAAGCTCGTTCTGACTAAACTAGCCCCTTCATAAATCGTAACTCATACGCCACGTTGTCACGTTTTCGCCTAAGCTCTACATGGCTGCTCTCGCTG